AGGAAGACATGAAATCTGTGTCTGGGGCATAGGCAGTGTTCAGTTAACTGTTAGCTTTATTACGATTATTACACTCTTAAACCAAGAGTTTCAGAATTGTTCCACGTTGTGGTTATAAGATGTATCTACAATTTTAAAAGCAATTTTTATTGTATATATAGTAAAATATATACATAAGTTTGTACTTATATTATGACAGGCACTGTTCCAAGAACTAGATAAATATTCACTCATTACTTCTCATAACCTACAAAACAGGAGCTGTTGACACTTCACAGATAAGAAAGCTGAGGCATGGAGAAGTGAATTAATTTGTCCAGGGCTACATAGCTGGTAAATGGCAAAACTGAATTCGGACCCCCGCATTCCAGCCTCTGAGCCAGTCCTTCTGATAAATACACTATAGCGCCTCTCTATTTTTCTTGGATTATAAGTACCGTTACCATTAATCATGAAAAGTGAAAGAAACGTATGCACTAACTGAAGCATCACTACAAATCCTTCAGGAAATGAACATGAGAAATTGGTCCCAATCAGAAGTTTTGTTTAACTTCAGTTCAGCAGGTCTAGGTGAGTTCAGGAGTAAAAAGTACAAGGTGTTGGGCTTCCTTGGGCTAGCACCTAGGTCCTGCAACCTTTCAGAGATGGCCAGGAAAAGTGCACATAAGTGGAAAGAGCGAACCAGCTTGTTGGACTCAGTCTAACTCTTGCCGGCCCCTCCAAGTGAAGGAAAGTGCCAGCTTTCTCAGGGTCACCCCAAAACAGGAGGGCTCCAGGGTTCAGGGATCCAGTGGGGATACACCTCAGACAAGAGGCTGTGTGTGTCAGCTGGTCCCAGGAGCTGTGTACATGCGATTTAATTCAATCCCCACTCTATTCCTGGGGGAAGGTGGTGTTCCCATTTACTAGAGGAGGAAATGAACTTGGGAGCCTGAGAACTTGGCATGTCACCAGCTCGTCCAGGGTGGAAGAATTGGTGTTAAAAAGGGGCGTGCTTGCCCCAGAGAGGCTGTCTTTTCAGTTTTCTGCATTATCAGCTCAGTCGCACTCTCCAGCAGTCAGCCAGTGAGGTGGCTGCAGTCATGGCTCTCATCCCTTGGTAAGTCAGGGGAAAACAGTGTGAATTCGTTGGCCAGCGCCACGAGCAGACTGGACCCTGTCTGGTGTGGTAAGAGGAGGAAGTGAAAGAAGACCCAGCTGCCAGCCTCTGGTCCCTACACCTGGCCCCATACTCACTCTCACTCCTCTGAGCAGGTCTGCTGTCCAGCTGCCCTCTTTCTCCAGCTCCATACCGTCCTTTCGGAACTGACACTCTGCTCTGCACATTTAAACTTTGTTCACCAGATTTCCAGACCTAAAGGATATGAAAAGAAAGTAGCCAACCTATATAACATTCCGGATGGGTGTAAATATGATAATGCACTATTTTGCTGCCATGTTTAACTGAGTCCTCCGCTGCTGGCTGGCTATCTTGAGGCCATCCATTCTGAGTGTGAAGCTCACACCCATAATCGGAATTTTCTCTTGGAGCTCATTTCGGTGGGCCTTTTGTTGTTTATAGTCTTCTTAAATCTTATTTCAAAGCCTGAGACTCTCTATGGGACATCTGCCGGATCTAAGGTTGCTTTAAAGTTGATGGTCAAACAGTTTTGTATCTTCCAACTTTTAGAACGGCTTCCAAAGATTCTGACTCTAGAGCCCCTATGACAAACTGGGGGGCAAAGTGCAATTTATGAAAGTTAAAAACATGACTCTGTATACAAGCACTGTATATTGTTAGCTCATGCCTGGGCCAAGGAGTGCTTCATGGCACTAATGAGGCAGCAAGCAGGTGGACAAAGGCAGGTTTAAGCAGGATACAGGAGAATGGAGTAACTCGTAGTCAGGGAAAGAAGGAATGCTGGGAGGCCGAACAGTCGGATGCAGAATTGGTTCATAGCCTGTTGGCAATACAATCGTAATGTTTAGGGTTATATTTTGTACTGGAAAGAATTCACTTGCATCTCTATTTGACACAACCTTTATTAACCTATCAATCTTCTACAAGTCAGCGTCGAATTTTACATACTCGGGCCTCATCCAAAGTCAGTATGATGTGACAGTTCTTTTTGCTGAAGCCATGCTGTCCAGAGTGATAGCTACGAGCCACCTGTGGCCACTGGGCACTTGTGATGTGGCTGGTCTGAATCAAAATGTTCCAGACTGTAGAACACACACTAGATTGTGAGAACTTTTCATTAGAAACAAGGAATATAAACCATCTTATTTTTAAAATATTGATTACATGTTGATGTGATAATTGTTTGGATATATAGAAAGTTAAATATATTATTAAAATTAATTTCCCATTTTTTTTCAATGTGATACTAGAAAACTTAAGATTATATATGTGACTCGTATTCTATTTAGTGTGTAGAGTTGCCTTAGAGATCAGATGACCCACACGTGCCCTTACACAATTTTCTAACACAGCTTGAAAGGACAGGAAGAAATGTTTTTGCCTTGTTTTTAAGTTTTGGATACCTTTTCTCAGTACAAGTTACAGGGATCTGTAGAAGGGTTCTCTCTGCCTTCTGGCCTCCACCACGTGGCACAGGTTGGGAGCAGGCTCTGGGGGGCCGGGAGAGACTGGTGTCTTAATGACTTGAGACCTGGACTTCAGATCTGACTGATTCAACCTGAGTCACCATATGCAGGAACCAAATCACAGTAGTCAAATTTACACGCCACTGATTTATAAATCAGGACACAAATTTATTGAAAAGGGATGCGCAGTGCCTGGAATTCAGGACTCCACACAGCTGTTTTCCTGGTCCCCCATACTTAGTCGAGTTCCAGATGAGAAGGGGTTCACCGCACATAGACCAGAGCAGAGTGCCATGTTCTCATTTATTTCTACCAAAATATATTGTTATTTTTTATATGTTTTCACACCTATAAAATATATATGAAGGTGCTTTAGTTGTTCGTATACTTTCAATGATTTGTTACGATTCCTATTCCCAAAGTCACACTGATGGATGGCAGGTCTCAAGTGGTTTTTTATGGCCGCTAACTCATCCATCCCTAATGTTATTAGGTTGTTAATTCCCAGAGGACATGATTAGTGTTAGGCAGTTTCCAAACGCTGAACTAATGTTACTCAATGAAACCATGGGGTTATCTTTCGTCTAAAAGAAGATGCCTCATTTTTCATTCATCACTGAACTTAATCTGTATAACTCCTTTTGTCACAAACACAATGGGTTCGCCTCTTGCAGTGTCTGAACCAAAGGGACACAAGTCTCGCTGGAAGAAAAAGTTCAGTTTTACTTGTGACAAGTAAAACGTTCAGGGGAATAATTTCCAAAGCCCTGTCTCCCCCATTGCATATATACACTATTTGGTTAATTACTTGTTGATTTCTTCTTGGCAATGGGTTAAACTTAACTGTTTGCTGTTCTGGTCAAGTTCATCCAGTTACACACCGCTGGGCCTGCAAAATACTGTGCTACATTTTAACATTTAGCAAGAGTAACATTTACAGAGAACCGCCCAGATTGTGTGTGTCCTATCTCACACTTTTGATTACTACGATCTGATATATTTAATACATATTTTCTTGTAGACATATGTTTGAACAGGAATTTCTGGTGAGTTGTAATACTTCCTTTGTCCCTAAACATATAATATATGTATATTAAATATATGAGCAGAACATTTTACTCAGCCTTTTCTTTCCAGAAAATAATTGCAATTGCTTGGACCCAAAGGGTGAAATAAGCAGCAGCGAAATTAATGAGGTAAGACAAACTTTACAGTAGAATACACATGGCCAGCTTTAGAAGGGATGAGAGGTGAGCTCATCAAGAAAAGAGGGTATAATAATGTATAAGTTCTACTACTTTTCCTCTGTTTGTTGTAAATTTTGCCATCCAATTGTTTTCCTGTTTCAAATCTATAGTTCCTCTTGTAAGTCAAAGTGTAGCTTATTAAATAGCCAGTTGCTTTATTTCCATCTATATGTTTGAGTTCCCAGTTAGGGGGTGCCGTTCTATATCATGACATGGGTTTGATATTGTTACTGGAAGAAACCTAGAATTTTCATGTGCTGAAATTCATCTCTTTATCGCAGCATACAAAAATAAATAAATAAATGCTTGTTTTCTTTGAAAACAGATCATCTCGATGTTCCTCGTTGCCAAGTGTCTCTGGGGTTCTTTGCAGGCTTAAGGGGTCTTCCCTCCTCCCTGATCCCTGTCCTGGAGGGCAAGACCCCCTGGCTTGCACAACGCAGAGGGGAACTTGAGAGCTTGTGAAAAACAGCCCAATTCCTCGCCTTTGAAAGTTGAAGAGTGCCCCACCCCCACCCATGAAGAAAGGTTTGATAGTTTCAGTGTTTTCACATCAAAGGTTTAAGTCTCTAACTTACCACCATCCAGGACCCCCACTGGGCTTAGGACCCCCCCTCCCACCCGTCCCTGACTGCTCTGGGCTGGCTCCGGAGTCCCATCCTAGTCCGCAGCTCCCGTGGGTCTACGCAGAATTCAGAAAGACGTGTGTTACTTCCCTTGCGAAGAAACAGAATTGTCGTGAAAACTGAAGTGGAAACCATTTCGTTTCTGTCCCCAGAAGAAGGCCAGCATGTGCCCAACCACCCCTGAGAAAAAGAACTTTCGGGGGCAAAGGAGCGACCAGGTAATTTAGAAGAAAAACAGAAAGTGGTCTCCGACTGCCCTGGACTTCCCTCGGAGTTGGGGGAGTTGGGGGCTCCTGGACGCGTGGTCTTTGCAGTTGCAGACAAAAGAAACGCAGAGCCCGAAACCTAAGGCTTCTCGGATTCTCCCCCGACCAAGCCCGGGTGATTTGGGACGGTGCCTTTTAATATTTTCCCCTTTTTGTGAAGTGGAACAAACACAACTTGGGCGCACGGCGGCGGCTCGGAGCCTGCCAGCCAGGAGGGCGGCGGGAGCACCAATCAGCGCGCGCCTGCGCTCTATATATACGGCGGCGGCCCGCGCACCGGCACCGGCGCTTCGCCACTTGTCCCGAGTTCCAGCTCGTCACCATGTCGGAGACCGCTCCCGCTGCGCCCGCCGCTGCTCCCCCTGCGGAGAAGACCCCCGTGAAGAAGAAGGCGGCCAAGAAGCCCGCGGGGGTTCGCCGCAAGGCGTCCGGGCCCCCGGTGTCCGAGCTCATCACCAAGGCCGTGGCCGCCTCCAAGGAGCGCAGCGGCGTGTCGCTGGCCGCGCTCAAGAAGGCGCTGGCGGCCGCCGGCTACGACGTGGACAAGAACAACAGCCGCATCAAGCTGGGCCTCAGGACCCTGGTGAGCAAGGGCACCCTGGTGCAGACCAAGGGCACCGGCGCCTCGGGCTCCTTCAAGCTCAACAAGAAGGCGGCCTCTGGGGAGGCCAAACCCAAGCCCAAGAAGGCGGGCGCCGCCAAGCCCAGGAAAGCCGCCGGGGCGGCCAAGAAGCCCAAGAAGGCTGCGGGGGCGGCCACCCCCAAGAAGAGCGCCAAGAAGACCCCGAAGAAGGCGAAGAAGCCCGCGGCGGCTGCAGGGGCCAAAAAGGCCAAGAGCCCGAAGAAAGCGAAGGTGGCCAAGCCCAAGAAGGCGGCCAAGAGCCCGGCCAAGGCTGTGAAGCCCAAGGCCGCCAAGCCGAAGGTCGCCAAGCCGAAGAAGGCTGCTCCCAAAAAGAAGTAGAACGCCTGCTTCTAAAAACCCAAAAAGGCTCTTTTCAGAGCCACCACTGATCTCCACGAAAGAGCTGTGCAGTCCTGTCTCCGTACCCTGTCCGGTTCTCCTTCTCAAACTTTTTTGTTTTAAGGCGGTGTTTTCCGAGAGTCACTGGAGCTGGCTGCTGACACGTCCCAGGAACGGTGGTGGCCGTTGGGGAGGGGGCTGCTGTGGTGACAACCCGGGACGTCCCTGCGGCCTGTCGTCCTCGGCCCCGGGGGCTCCGGGTCAGGTGGGCGGAGCGTCCTGGCCGGCCCCACCCCGCGCCTGGCAACAGGAAAACAACCACAAGAAGCCACCAGCCCTTTTTTTAGTTAAAAGGATGTCGCGATTAGGCTGAAGTCATTCAAAAGTCCCGCCTGCTCGCGGGTTGGCGCACTCCACCAGCCCGTGATTTATCATCATGGATTTAATTGGACAGCGCACGGTTTGTTTTGTTTCTTTCTTTTGGGGGTTGAATGTTTTGGCTTTTTCATGTGACGTAGAAGTATATATCTGGTCTTCTGGACGCTACCATGTTTTCGAAAGTCTGCTGTGTCCCGGGTGCGTCGGTGGCATCCAGCCCTGGGAGGAGTGGTCTCACGGGCCTTTGCACCATCTCTATTTCCTGTTTCCCTGGCGACAGAGGAGCGCGCTTGAAAAACGACTGCCACCCAGGGCTCGGACGCACCGGGATTTTTCTGTCCCTCATACTGTGTAACTTTGGCCAAGGCTGTGATGCGTCTGAGCGCATCAAAAACAACTTTCCGTCGCCATTTTGCCCTGGTAAGCCAGTCCCCGGCCCTCACTTTAAATAGACGTCTACAAATCGAAGATGCTTTAAAAGCACTTTTTGTGCGGTCCAAATGTTTCTACGTAAAGAATAAGAAAAATATTGGTAAACTGGGATCTATGTGTGTGGGTGGGGGGTGATGTCGCTAATAAAGGGATTTAAGTTTCCACTGACAGTGTCATCTGTGGGTTCTTATATTCACGGTGTTTCTCCTGCATGGAGAAAGTCCAGGGTACTGTTTTATTCTGGTGGACACATGTTTTTCTCAAGTTCTAGGGACGGTCTTTTGGGGGCCTGCCGCTCAGTTCTTCACCTATTGCTGCAAGGCGGGAGCTGGTGTGAGTTGATTCCCGCTGCATTAGTGCTAGGGACCATTGTGTTCATCTCGCCCCACCCCTCCCTACCGGACTGAGGTTGTTTAATCTTCATTTTCTTTATAATCGTGGATAGAAAAACCATCCTTTCCTTGCGAGGAAACACACACGAAGGAGGATAGTTCTCCCATGGTTTCTTCCAGTAATTTTGTGGTGTTGATTTGACATTTACAAGAACTGAGCCCTCTGTATTTTAGTGGAAGGTTATGGAGAGGGATACTTTTTATATATGGATGTTTTTTCCCAAAGGCCACTTATTAACTTCCATTTCTGCTCGCCTCTCCCCTAGCCACCCCACCCCCACTTGAGATGCCACCTTTATCATAGTCTAAATTCCAGGACAGTTCTTGGTCTTCTGTTGTATTCCTTTGATCTTTCTGGCCACTCCCAAGGTGAGATCACACTGGTTTAAGTCTCCTTCACAGAGCTGTCTTCAATGCTGAGAGGAATACATAACCCAGAGTAGGTACTCAAACAATAATTGTGCAGTAAATAAATGGAGATGTTTTGACTTTAATAGCTGATAGGCTAGTTCTCATGACTCTTTTCAGAATTGCCTGGTTGTTCTATTTTCAGCTAATTCCCTCTCATTACTATTTTTCAGGATGTTCTGGTTATTGTATTTTTTGTTTGATTATTTCATTTTTCCATGTGTACATTAAGGTGCTCCCCCTCCGACCCATTCACCCCCTCATTACACATAAAACCCCCTCTTGGTATTGTGTTCTTATAAACACATCTGGGGAGGTAAGTTTTCTATTCAAGAATGTTTGAGGTTTTCTACTTGTTCAAATATTTTGTACTTTTCTCCAAATACCTCTTCATATTTCTTTTCACCTTTATTCCCAGAGTTTATCTTTGTTGCTGTCGGAAATGGCAACCTGATCTTTTTCCTTGAGGGCCAGCACCCCATAAAGTACACAGAAGGTGCACAGTTACTGAAAGAGCCAGAACATTGCTTTCTAGAGCCACATGAACAAGGGGCAAAGAAACAGGTGGAATCAATTTTAATAATACAATTTATTTAAGCCAGTATGTCTGAAATAGCATTCAACACAAAACCAATGTAAAATGATGTATAAGACAGTTCCCATTCTTTTTTATTTCTCATACTATGCGTTTGGCATCGGTATTTTGCACACACACATCACACCTCAGCTCCTACTAGCCCATTTCAAGAGCTCTGTTAACCATATGTGGCTCATGGCTACATACAGATGATGGAACTCTAGAACGCCCTCTGCCCTCAAGTATCCTGGTTTCTCTAACCTCATTTTTTTGGTTTAAGGCTTAAATGCCAATGTGTCTTAAATATTACTGTTTTCTGTGGCCTAAAACATTGGAAGGGACAATGTGTGACTTTAAAGGATGGTTGATTGGTCCAGAGATCATTGGGCCAATTTGAAGGAATCAAAACATTTCTGTCCAAAACTGGACATTTGAGGTATTGAACCTCAAGAGACATGATGTGAGGGCCTGGGAGCTGCCTTCTTGGATGCTATGTAGAAGAAACCAAGTCTGGTGGATAAAAGGAGTAGAGTGAACATATAAATAATTAACGTCTAAACTGGTAGAGAATTTTTAAATATGTTTCAGCCAAACTGACGGCATTGCTGGGGAGCAAGATCTCAAGTGCTCCCGAGAATGACAGTTTTGCAGTTTCTTGGTGTAATTTAAATTGAGGGGGTGTTAGGAAGATAGCATGGGAGGTGGGAGCAAGCAAGGCAGGGAGGGACTAGATTGCAGGGTAGTTACTATGTGCTCTCTTGAGGGTGGTCACACTTTAGAAGGAGGGGCCTGAAAAGAAGCATTTCAGGGGTGTGTGAGCCTAGATGTATTGGGTTGTTAGAAAAGTCATGATGTATTTTTTTCTCTGTGTTTCATTGCAAAAATGTGTCATGAATTTTTCCGACAACCCAATACATGGATAATGGATGGGGCTGCCTTAAGGCCAAGATAACCTTTTACTACAAAGTTATGGGCCTGGGGCCTGACGACCTACTATGACCTGCCCGGTTAGGGGTTGGTGGTCAGATCACCCTGTGAGGTTACTTTTCATAGAGCCCCTTTTTCACCCACTGTTGACTTCTTTTCCCGTTGTTAAGTTAATATTCACTATCTAGTTTTATATCTGTAATTTTGTATTGTAGTTTGTAGGAGTCACCAAGTTGTATAAAAGCTTTAGGCCTCAGGAAACCTTGATCTACTCCATCAGTTATCTTTTTATATTTGTAAAATTAAAAATAAATACTTAAGTTGATATTTGTGCATTTATTAAAAGGGGCATAGGTAAAGAGAGAAGCTCTACAGCTGCCTACACTTTTTGGATGAAAAAGGGGTGCTGTGGTGCTGTATAAATCACAAATTCCTAACTGGCAGGTCATGGGGGGTCGTCACACCCAGCCACGTAACTAATGAGTAAAAAAAGGCTTCTCTCTCTGCCTTTGTAAAGAACTGGCCCATCAGCGCTGCAGATGGCAAGTTCTGCTGACACCAAGGTGCAGTGACAGAAAGAGGCACTAATTGTGCAGCGCTACACAATGGAGAACGGGCAGCTTGAGGTGGAAAAGCTGGAACTCCCCCATGGTTTAGATGGCATTTTTAGAGCAAAAAAATCACGTTATCATGAGCAAGGGGCTTGCTGATTGGTCAAGAGTGAGGGAAGGGCAGTAAATAATGTCAGGTATGGAGATCAGCTTCCAGTCCAGCTTGGCTTCATGAGGCCAGGAGTTCATTGTGCTTTCCGGCTCAGGAGCAAAAACACAACTTAGGCCATGAGGGTATCTTGAACTTAACAGAAACCCATACCTGTGACCCTTAGTCAATGCTTGGTTATTGATTGTTCCTGGCTGCCGTCAGGGGGTTAATGACTAGTAAGAGAAAGGGCCAAGGCTTACAGGGCATGCTGGGAAGAAACTGAAAGAGGGCTGGGGCTACATATTAAATCAAAATCATACATTAAGTCGGGGCCCTTGGGTTCACTTTGTTTGCTTTGTGGGCTGAAAAGCATCTTGATGCACATCACCAGGTTTTACCTTGACGTGCAGGGGTGGAAACTAGACCTTGTTACTCTTACTCATTGTGTGCTATTAGTTTTGGTGATTTCTTTTTCCAGCAGTCTAACAGACCCCACAGCAAACAATTTGTTTAATAAGGAGCTACGTGACTTCCTCCACATGGTTTAGTCAGTCCAAGCTAGCATACAAATCTACAAAATTTTTTAATTAAAGATACTTTGATGATGTTTTCACTCAGCTTTTTAAGCAAGCAAGCCCTATTGTCCGTCATCTAGGTTAAGGAACCCTTGAAATGGCCCCTTTCAGACACCCTCCCAATAGAGCACGTTAATTTCCAATCAAATCCCACCTTACTACCCTCAACCTCAATGTCCTCTTCGTAAAATCTGAATTTGAAATTCGTGCAAGAACTGCGTAACTGTCCTTTTCAGGAGGAATTTGAGTTCTAACTTCTCCTGCACACCTTATTCTTAGTTTTGGCCTCAATAAAACTATAAAAATCCTAGTTTTGTCCATGTGCTGAATGGTCATATTTCACTTTGTTAAATCCCACTGATCAAGATACACCGAGAAAACTACCATGTAAATGCTTAGTGCAAAAAACATCTAAGTTACGTACCCGCACTTTTTTCTCAAGAACTAATCAATCCCCTGGTTCCATTCCAGTATTTGAAAGGTATAATAAAACTACAACTCTTTAAGTGAAACTGTGGGTGGCTCTGAAAAGAGCCTTTGGGGACGAATGGGTGGCCGTGATTTCACGCCCTTTCTCCACGGATGCGGCGCGCCAGCTGGATGTCCTTGGGCATGATGGTGACGCGCTTGGCGTGGATGGCGCACAGGTTGGTGTCCTCGAACAGCCCCACCAGGTACGCCTCGCACGCCTCCTGCAGCGCCATCACGGCCGAGCTCTGGAAGCGCAGGTCCGTCTTGAAGTCCTGCGCGATCTCGCGCACCAGCCGCTGGAACGGCAGCTTGCGGATCAGCAGCTCCGTGGACTTCTGGTAGCGCCGGATCTCGCGCAGCGCCACGGTGCCGGGCCGGTAGCGGTGCGGCTTCTTCACGCCGCCGGTGGCCGGCGCGCTCTTGCGGGCCGCCTTGGTGGCCAGCTGCTTGCGCGGGGCCTTCCCGCCGGTGGACTTGCGAGCTGTCTGCTTCGTGCGAGCCATACCAACCTCCGGTGACTGACTGACTGATGTAGCAAGGAAGAACCCCTTCACCGGTATATATAACGAGAGTCCCGCTCTGATTGGGCTAGGCATCTGTCCATCACGAGGGGCCCGCACTGAAAGAGGCGCTGACTGCCTGATCACGAGTCATTGCTGCGTTCAGACCGAAAATTAACATATTCTTGCCCCCCACCCGTTCAACTTCTGATGTTTTCAACCCTTTCTCGCCTGTACTTTCTTCGTGTCGTTTCTTTACACTGTTCTTTGCCTTTTCCGGGCAGAATTTAATATACATATTACAACGATGTATCTTGTTTGCTGAATAAAAATGTTAATTTCTATTACCTAAAACTGGCTTTGTTGATCTTTTTAAAAAGGCGCGCGCTAGATGTGATTGGCCAACTGATTTTCTTAGCCTCATTCAAGCTCAGGAAGGCTAATTACGCGTCAATTTCTTGATTTCTCTATTTAAATTTAGAGATCTTTTAGAGATCGTCCAAGGTTTTTCTGAATTTCACGTGACATAACTACATGAATACATTTATTTCCCACTAACTATAGCATCCTCACCTAAAACCACTCCAGTTTCACAATTTCGAGGGGCGTGTGTGAAATGGGGTTAAGAAAAAAATCCTCAGACTTGTACATGGCACAAGATTCCAGGTGTGTGGCTTCTTCAAGTCCCGCTGAAGCCCGTGTTAAGGTCGAGCTAAAGGTCAGGAGTCCGGGGAAAGTAGTACTGCGTTCCTATATTTCCAAGTGATCAGGGCCCAGCAGAGGTGGAGAGGAGCGGATTGCAGGTGGGTTGCCCTGTTAAGACGCAAAATTTCCTAGGGTATTGAATTGGCGGTTTTATTGCTTTAAGTAGCTAACTATAGCTCATCTTTGGCCGACCAGCTCTTTCGTTGTTTTTGTTTTACGGTATAACCGTGAGTGCCGGCTGCTCTCGGCCTTCACTACCTGTGACTCAAAGTATCTCTATCCGTTTTAATGGGCTGATGATAGCTTTTGTTTTCATTGTAATTTCCAAGTAGATGTTAGTTTCGCTTTCCTGGGGTGTTTACTGACATCTACCGACCAACTGCGGTAAATGTCACTTTCAATTATCCTCCTAAATTAAGAAACACGCGAGCCCTTTTAGTGAAAAGGTGGGTGGCTCTGAAAAGAGCCTTTGGTTTGGAGTGGACCTGCTGGAG